GAGGAAATATGTGCACAGTCCGTCGCATGTGATAGATTATGAGCCATATCAGATTAGAGAGGATTTTTCATATGAGGAGATGCCTGTTCGAATTTTAGATTCGAAAGAGAAAATGTTGCGCACAAAGGCCATTAAATTGGTTAAGGTACTGTGGCGTAATCACTTGGTTGAAGAGACGACTTGGGAACGCGAGGATGAGATGTGCAAGAAGTACCCACATCTATTCTTATGATTTACTTAGGTTAGTTTTGAGGACGAAACTTTTCTTTTAGAGGGGGCGAATGTGAGAACCCGAACATACAAATCAAATAAATAGTTAAATAATAATAATTTTACAATCCCAAATATTTTGCTTGTTAATCTTTAAGTGCAAATTAAATTTTATTAGAGGGTTTTATAATTAATTTTAAACCTAAAATAAATTTATGGTGGAAGTCTTTAATTTAGAGTTAAGATTTATTGTTAAAAATAGTAATAATAATAATAGGGAACAAATTATTAAGTATATTTTGATCTAATAGTTATATTTAATTTTATTGGTGAAAAGATAAAATAAAAAAAAAACAGAATAAAATATAAAAAGAAACGTGGGAGTAGATGTTTGTGAGGAAGCTTAGGGTTTTATGTCCACTATATCAAATCATAGGTCTCCATAACTAAGAGAGAGGCAAAGAAGTTTGTGGCAAACAACAAGGAGAGAGAGGAATTCTGTGTAATCAATACTGTGTGGGTAAGTAAATTGTTTATTTGCACTTTTATTATTTTTTTTGATCTTCCATAGTTGAGTTCGTGAAATGCATGGTTTAATCATTTAGGTGTTTATTAATTTATGGGCTGGTGTGAAGGAAAGTCTAGTATATCAAACCTGGGTTCCGGGAAATAATGATGGAAGAACATGTGTTGTGTGGTTGCATGAGTGTCATTGTGGAAGAGATGTGGCATTATCTTTTGTGTGTTGTGTTGTCAGGGCACTGGTGCTCCTGTTTGGTATTGTTACTAATGTTGTGTTTGGTTAGAGGATTTGGGGAGGGATTTGGAAAGGGAAAGGGAAAAAGTGTGTGAAACTATGTGAAATATAGGCATGATTTATTCACATTTCACCTACCTTTTCCATTTCTCTTTCCAAATCCCTCCCCAAATCCCCCAACCAAACACAACATAAAGGTCTAGATATAATGTTTAAGGTTCAAACATTCATGTATAAAGAATGGGTATTATTCTTAGTAAGAAAAAAATTCTATGCAGAATCATAGATTTTAAAAATCAAGAAATCATATCAAACGGATGAATTTTGTACTGAAATTTTTACAGTAGATTAATTACATATTGAATTTCATATCTGAATTTTCTCATAATTTTTGAGAGTCAAAATCCATATAAACTGATGCATTCAAATCTATCCAGAAAACTGGTTTAAAACAGTAAGTTCGGAAGCATCATTCTCTTTGGGTATTATCAAATTAGTGTCATTAGAACCGGTTATGAGTCTAGTTTTGTAAATTTTTTGCCTTGCATTGATTGCTCATGTATACTAAGAGAACCATTAATTTCTTTAAAGTGCTACAGAAAACAACCTGTTTAGATATAATTAATTGTAGATAATTATTTTGATAAGCAAATCAAGTAAAACCAATTGGCTGTGAAACTTAGGATATATGAGTTGATATCTGGAGGGTTTTGGAATTTTTCGAACATCATGGAGTGGGTTTTGTAATTTTCAAAGTTAGCGAATAGATTGGGAAAACTTGTTTAAAACTCTGTTTTATCTTAAAGTTACTTTTAGTTAAGTTTCGATCGGAACCCATGTCTTGGGTGATTTTAGACCTTGAAGAATATGAACTTAGGTAATATTTAAGAGTAACGGTGAGTTGGGTTGAGCCATATTAGTGCGCTTTAGTTTGAGGTTACTCAGTTTCTATTCTTTAGTATTTTTAAATTAGTAGTGACGTGCAGTTTTCATACTTGGTTCAGGGCACTAGTTGGAATTTTATACTCTATTCGAGGATTACATTATTCCGTTTCCAGGTGAGTAGTTTCATGCTACATATTTTTATAAATGTTCCCTTACCCTGAACTGTTGGAAAATTAAATTGTTGTTTCAGGACTAAACTGTTTTGATAAATTATTATATTATCAATGGAATCAAATTATTTCTGAAACATATGTGAACTTGGCATACTGTAAACTATTTGTTTTGGTCTCATGTTTATAATGGTGAACTACCATGTTTTGCGAAACTGATGTGTATTGATTATTGGGACCATCTGTGTATTTTAGTCTAGGGAAATTATTCCACTGTGTGTGGTGACTCTGGCCACTAGGGAACAGATCTGGGTTAGGACGTGATGACTCTAGCGCTCAACGATTGTAAGGAAAAGACCTAGGTTAAACTAGGTGACCTTCAATCGGATCGTCTTAGAGAAAAGGCCCAGGTTGCCACCCTGAGGATGACTCTTAGTTCGGTATTAGATCCAACGGGGCTTATAGCCTTGAGAACTGTGTGGCATGTTACTTGTTATTTCTTGGTACCCAGAAAATTATTGGTGTTCATGTTGTAATCTGTTTTAAGTGAAAAATGTCATTTATCATGTTCTTGAGAGACATGAGTATTTTAACTATTGAACTGTGGAACCTTCTTTTTGAAACAGATTCTCTTTACCAAACTGTATGCCAATCTAGTTTTTATGATATATGTCTTATTTTGGAATTGATCCATGTTTTCAAAACTGTATATATTATCCATGTTGCTACTCATTGAGCTATCAGCTGACTTAGTTGTTTACTATTTCCAGGTGTTAGAAGGACTTAGAGTGGACTCATGGCGTAACGGGGACTCAATTGCATGGACCTCTAGGACATTCATTTATTTTGTTTTAGACTGTTATGTCAAGTTTGTGCATTTTTATTTTTATTTTTATTGAGGTTCATTTAGGATTATTTTGATATGTGGGTTGTTTATATCCCATAAGTTTGGATGGTATTGATTACAGTTGGTTTTGCCGTTTATACTTATGGAAATGTCACTGGATTGAGTTTTGGTTGTTTATTAATGGACTTTGTTATAGTTATTCAATGTGTATGGATTCGTATTTAGGCTTATGTGTGCCTTGGGCTAAGGCCCTGTGGGCCACGGCCGGTCATACCCCGGTTTGGGGTGTGACATCAAGGACTTTAGTCCCTTCTTCTTCCAACCTACCTCAGATTGTACCACCACTTTTGATCATTTGTGGAAACTCATAGTTGCCATCATCTTCTTCAAGCCACTTGAGGCCTGTCTCCAAGACACTTCCATTGATAATCAAGGCCCCACATCACCACCTTCTAAACTTAAGGTTGCAGGTAATGTTTTGCCTTCCATTTCATATACTTTGTAACCCTGACTATCTCATTTTTCCTTTTGGGAATACTAACTTCTTGGGTTTTTGGCAGCCAATGTTGAACCTGCTACTGAGCCCTTAGTTAGGGGCCAACACACGGGCAAGGCCCCAATAGATCCAACCATCCAAACAAAAGACACACCTCCCGTCCCCAAACTAATGAGGGACTCCTTATCAGGCCTCCATACACAGGCCCAAAGGGTCTAAAGGAGGATCACCACTTCTTTCCCTGTCGAAAGAGAAATAAGGGCTAAGAAAAGGCAAGAGCCTCCAGCCACCCTTGTCTCCGAAGCAAACCCTAGTGATTGGGACACAACACTCAGCCAAATAGTTGGCCAAACAGCTCCAAATCCCCTAGGGCAACACTATTTCTTGTTACACTCCACCTCCTCTCACTTGTATTTAACTGACACTTTCCTAATTGTAGAGAAAGAGGAGAAGAGTCCTCATCTCTATAGCTGATGATGAAGACACCCTTTCCAACTCTCCACAAAACACTAACCAATCTCTACTTCCTCCTCCAACCACTACGGCTAGACAACCACCTTCAGAATAAGCCTCACACTCAACCCCAAAACAGCCTGCTCCACAACCATCTTCAACCCCTACTCATTTTGAACCTCATTCCATTGCTTTCAAAGATGTTACTCTTAGAGCCTTCCTAATGAAGGTTCTTTACCCAGGGACAACTGAACCCATTAACTTTCCTTTAGTTTTTACTCCTCAACCATCACCATCCAATTCTGTTAACTCTCAAACTTCCAGCAGGCAACCAAAGAGGATTGACCTTGACAACTCAACCAACAACTAATCAATTCCTCCCAGTCATCAATCTTCTCCAGAAAATCAAAACACCAGGTCTCCTCCACTAGAACCTCAAACCACTCAAAGTAAGTGTAATTACTAATGTGGTTGAGCATCTAGCCCTTTTTATTTCTACTGACTTTAACTAACTTCTCTTTTTCCTTCAAAACCATAGGGTAGATACAATCATTGCACCACCCCTACTAATGAATGAACCAGAGACAAGTCCTGAGGGTACAGATGCTAATACTGCCTTTCCTACACTTGAGACTACCATTCCAATTGAACCAACTCTTCCTGCCACCACAACCACTACTGAACAAAACTAGCCTCCAACAGACATTCCATCCATTACTGAGCAGGTACTACTTTCAACCTTAATTTCTTCATTTCCTACTACCTGCAAAATACAAACTTATCAATTTGTTACTATCGACAGGCCATTATCCTAACTCAGGATATCTGGGAAGAATTCACCACCCTTCAACAAAACCTGGATCAAATATCACCCATTCCTCAAAGACTACACCATTTCCAGACTGAAACCCAACAAACCTTAACCACTTTCATCAACCTAATCAACACTCCACTTGAAGAAATAGCCCTAAAGCAACCTGATGAAACCTTAGCCTGCCTCATTGTTATTTTGAACTTGTCCCCTAATCCTTTCAACCCAATCAAATTAAAATAACTGGCTAGAATCACCACATAATGGCTAACTCTTTTGGAGATGGTTCAAACCTGCTCCAAAGACATCCAAACCAAAAAAGACTTTCTAGTCAAAGCTTGAACCATATCTACTTCCCTCAAGCTCAGTCATCAAACTTCCTCAGCTATTTCTGAACAAGTTACAACACTTGCACTTGAAGAATTAAGACCTGTGGCAGAACTGGTCATTATTAGACAAAGAAAACTCCATCTGTAACAGCAGCAAGATTAACTCAGCTAAAAAGCAAGGACTATGCTTTCTCAGATCATAAATGGTCCTTCTTCAATCCAGACTGTCAAAGCAAAGCTGGACCAAGCTCAAACAATGCTAGCAGATACCCAATCAGAATGGGGCATTCTGGCCATTCTCTTTCCCAAGACTTAGCTTAGGGTTTTTTTTTTCCCTTGCTCTTCTTTGTATTGCACCAAGCATTTCATTATCTTTTGTAACTAACACGTCATTGTAGTACACTATTGTACTACCCTTTTCTTTAATGAACATCAAAACTTTGTTTTGCATGGCCTGTTGTACTAAATATTTCATTCCTGTGCAAACTTCCTTTCTTTATGTGAGTTGTTCTGTCTTGGATGCATCTTAAGTTCCTTTGAAAGTTTTCCACATAGTTGGATAATACCTCTTAAGGTATTTCCTATTTATATTCCTCCTATGTGGTTGTCCTTCCAAGGACCCCAATTGATATACACCTCCCCTAAGGACTTCATGGACCCTAAAGGGGCCTTCTCACTTTGGTGACCACTTGCCAAACTCAGTGTCTTTTGTTCCCAATGGCAAGATGGTTTTCCACACCAAGTCACCTACTCCAAAGATTTTCAACCTAGCCTTCTTGTTATAGACTTTGTTAATCTTCTTCTTTTGAGCCATCAAACAATCAAAGGCAACCATCCTTTTGCATTCCACATCTTGTAATTCCATGAACATGGCCTCCACATACTCATCGATAGGAATGTCATAGTGCTTATCTACCCTACTAGACCTTACCGTCACCTCCAAGGGTAGAACTGCAGCATGACCATAAACCAATTCAAAAGGAGATGCCTGAATGCTATCCCTTTTTGAATTCTTGTAGGCCCATAAGACCTCAAACAATAACTCATGCCAATCTCTTGGATTGTCTTCTATTACTTTACTTAATGTCACTTTAATTGTCTTGTTTCATGACTCTACTTACCTATTTGCTTGAGCATAATATGGAGATGAGTTCAACATTTGAATTTCATGCGCTCTGGAAAATTCCATTACCTCATCACCATTAAATACTGTCTCTTGATCGACAGTAATTGTTCGTGGCAAGCCAAACCTATGCACTATGTACTTCTTGATAAAATCAATCATATGAGATTGATTCACTACTTTTAATGGGACTACCTCTACCCACTTAGTAAAATAATATGTGGCCACTAAAATGAATGCATGCTGCTTTGATGATGGAGGAAATATCTGGCCAATCAAATCCATTGCCCAACCCCTAAATGGCCAATGCTTAACAATTGAATGCAAATCCCTAGCTGGCAGTTTTTGCACACTGCCATGTTTTTGTCATTGCTGACACCCCTTTGCATAATCAATGCAATCTTTCCTTATAGAGGGCCAAAAATACCCATGCCTTTTAATCAACCACCTCATCTTCTCACCTGCTTGGTGAGCGCCACAAATGCCCTCATGGACTTCTGTCATGACCTGCATCTGTTTTAACCGTCCAATACATAACAATGTCAACCCATCTTAGGTCCTTCTAAACAAGTCATCCCCTATAACCACATAGTTCATATCTTGATATTTTTTCCTTCTATCCACTTTTGCTTCTGGTTCACTTAAATACTTGATCAAATGTGACCTCTAATCATCTTCTGACACCTCCAGAGTCAATATTGACAAACCTTGTTACAACTGTCAACACCTAACACAAGGCATTGTTCTCTTCTGAATCCTAACTATTCTTTCCTGGAAACCCTAGAATTCTCAAACCAGAGGCTACTTGGGCCATCTTGTTGGCCTCCTTATTCTCAAGTTTGAACATGTGTTCAAACTCTATTGTTTCAAAACCTTTGACTAGTTGCAATACCTGTTCTAAATACTCTCCAAGTATTGCACTGTTGCACTTATACTGACCTATTACTTGCCTTATCACCATCTGTGAATCCCCAAACACTTTTAAGTGTGGAATTCTTAGACTTCCTGCCAATTCTAGGCAAATAATCAAGGCTTCATATTCTACCTGATTATTTGACAACACCTGAGTTTCATCCAATTGATATGAGGATTGAAATACCTGTCCTTGGAGTGAAACCAACACCACCCTAACACCAACACCTTCTTCAGTCTTTGAGCCATCAAACATTAACTTCCATGGCTTTTTCCCAAATGAAAATGCCTCATACACATCTACCTCGACAGGGTTACTTTGAGGCTTAGCCAAGAAATCTACTAGTGCCTGGCCTTTCACAGCTTTTTGAGGTACATACTTGAAGCAATATTCAATTAAGGCCAACAACCATTTTCCCTGTCTCCCTCTCAAAACTGGCCTAGATAACATTTATTTTACTACATTAGTTTGAGCAATCACATTAACCTCTGTAGGTAACATGGAGTGCCTCAGTTTGATGGTTGCAAAATAAAAGGCTAAACACAACTTTTCAACAGAGCTGTACCTAGTTTCTGCTTCATTCATTTTCCTACTTAGGTAGTAAACAGCTTGCTTACACCTTTCTTCATTATCCTGAGCCAACAAACACCCAATTGGCTGTTTTCCTACTGAAATATACAACTTTAAAGGTTTCCCTTTAATGGGTGGCATCAGGATTGGAGGCTTAGACAAATAGTCCTTAATTGCATCAAATGCCCTTTGATGCTCACTTTCCCACCTAAAGTCTTTATCAGACCTTAACTTTAACAAAGGAGAAAAAGCTAAAGTCTTCACTGCCTTATTAGCAATGAATCTCCTTAAAAAATTAATTTGTCCAAGGAAACTTTGCAACTCCTTCTTATTGGATGGAGGCTGGGTTGCTTTAATAGCTTTAGCCTTGTTTATATCCGCCTTTATCCCCTTCTGATGGACTAAAAAACCCAAGAAATTACCAACATACATCCCAAAAGCACACTTCAAGGGACTATTTTCAATTGATATTTCCTCATCCTTTGGAACACCTGTCGAAGATGGTCCAAATGTTCATCAAACTCATCTGACTTGATTACCACGTCATCAATATACACTTCCAAGAATTTCCCAATCAGATCATGAAAGATAAAATTCATGGCTCTCTGATAGGTAGCCTTTACATTTTTAAGCCCAAAAGGCATTACCAACCATTCAAAAGTTCCTAAGGCCCTTGGGCACCTGAATACAATCTTATGAACATCATCTAGGCTAAGAAAGATCTAATTATATCTAGCATGGCGATCCATGAATGGTAAAATCTTATGCCTTGCAGCTGAATCTACTAACAAGTTGCAACTGGCATGGGATACTCATCCTTAGGTGTGGCCAAATTCAAATTCCTGAAATCAATACACATTCTAATCTTTCCATTCTTTTTAAGAACTGGAACTATATTTGTCAGCCACTCCACATACCTGGCTGTTCTAATGAAACCAGCTTTTAACAACCTTGCAATTTCATCTTTTACCATGAGAGTGACCTCATTTGTCATTCTTCGTGGAGGTTGTTTATGTGGCACAAAATTTGATTTTATTGGTAGCTTGTGTTCAACTAAGGACCTATCTAGTCTTGGCATCTCATCATAACTCCATGCAAAACAATCAGAATAATTTGAGATCAAGCCAACTAGCTTGACTTTACATTCATTAGGTAATAAAGCATTTACATAAATAGGCCTCTTACAGGCCTCATCACCTAAATTAAACTCCTTTAAAAGGTCTTGCACATCAGCCTAAGAGCCTTGAGATCATCAAGCTTTGTAGGAGCTGCCTTTAGATTCTCATACTGCACTTCCTTATAATCTAGTGGGCTATCATCTACCACACATTCTGCCCAAAAATAGTGGGGCAACATACCACCTGACCTCCTCTCCAAAAAGAAATAGAAAATTCTAACAAAAGTACTTTTAATTACATTAGAATCACATTCACTCTCGCTTTTCTTCATCTTCATTGGTAATGTCTTCAATCAACACTTCATTTATAGGCTTGGTCTTCAAGACACTTAGCCTAGCCACTTCTTAGCTCATTTGTCGAAAACCATCCTCAACAATTTTTTGGAACTGATCATAAGTAAGTCCAATTCCCCTGGATTTTAGTTCTTCATTTTCCAGCGCAATAGGGTTGAATTCTTCAGTACACAACATTGCTTCCACATTGTGAATATCAGCCTTAAAGGGATTTGCCTCTGCCAGAAAACCTCCATGCCTTGCCCTTCTTGACCTGCTACTATTAAGAAAATTAAAGCCTATTAAAGAGAATAAGGCACACAACCATTAAAATGAATCCAATCCCTTCCAAGCAGCAGGTTGTAATTTGAAGTGGAGTCAATCACAAAAAATGTTGCTCCCAAGGCAATTACTCCCCTTCTATCAAATGATCCTCTTGAGAAATCACTCATAGACACATCAGAAGGGATTAAATCATCAATAGTTTTACCAATCACACTTAAAATTCTGGTGGGCAAAATATTCACAATAGCCCCATTATCAATTAACACCTAGGTCAAAGGACAACTATTCAGGTGTGCACTCACATACAAAGGTCTCAGGTGCCTTACCAATTCTAGCTTAGGTGACTGGAGTACCTCCTTCTCACCACTGCCAATTTTAACTACTTTAATGGACTTACTGGCCTCTTCTTTGGACTTACTCACTTCTATCATATTCACAGCAGGCTCTGACAGGTCTTCCACATCACCTTCTAGTTGCAGTTTGCTACTATTACCCAGACAATAGACGAAGAGGGGCTTCCCATTATACAAGATGCAAATTCAAGTAGTGTAACAGACTAGCTATAGGACTCTTCATCAGACAATGAGCTAAAAGTACAAGAAGTCCTTTCTTCTCGCCTTTGGGATGAAATGATCCCAGTTTAGCCCTTGTCCTGTAGTGAACCAAGTCTGCCCCCCTCATTTTTATCATTTTGTTTGAGGTGGGCTTGCTCTTATCTAAGAGAAAAGAAAAAAAGGGACAACACTCTTAGATATCTAATCTAATTTCATAAGTAAAAGAAAGTTTCTAACTGCCTAGGTTTTGCCTTAAACCTTTTTGGTAAAACTAGAATCATATTATAATCAGGGTTTGCAGGCAAAGAACCAAACCTGATTGCATCTAACTTCTCACTAAAGCCCTTAGAACTGTTAAACTTTATATCTTCCTTTGTGTCTTCCTTGCTGTCGACAGAAGCCTCATCTAACTGCGTGCTACCACAGCATTCCCATCAGCCATTATATCATCCTCTTCACTCTCCTCATCATGCATGAGTGCTTTAGATATCTCCTCCAGCTGCCTCCTAAGAAGGATCTTTTTTGGTATCTTATCTACTACTTTCTCTATTTTGCATGACTCACCACACTCTTCCTTCCTTTTCTCTCTATTCCAAATCAGATTGTTTTGATCATCTCTCTTTGGATTATCTCATTCCTTTGTTGAAAACATAGCATGAAACTTTCTTTGCTTCCTTCTCACTTGAGTTCTAGTTGGGCCTATAGGCTTCCACCCCGACAGAGTAAATGTTGGATGTGTCACACCTTACCAACTAACATGTATAGGCACTAGTGGCTTCACCATCCTTGGTTACATTGGGGGATAAGCCTGTGGAAACCTCACCTCTTGACCATGAAACTACCCTGGCCTGAAAAACCTTTGACCTTGGCCAATAGATGGCCTTTGAAATGGTCTTGGCACAAATATTGGACTCTGAACATGGCTAGGGCCACTAGATGGCCTCTGATCTTTCAACTGCCTTACTTTGATTCTGACCCCTTCTGTTCCATGAAGAGAAGGATAAACAGGCTGCCATCTGAATAAGAATGGACCATCCTTCTCACCATATGACCTGTCGACAGGCCCAAAGATCCCAGGGTCCTGCCCATTAAACAACAACTTCTCTTTATTGAAAATTTGAAGGTCACCCCCACCTAAGGTATTAAACCTTAGGCCATGATCCTTCACACTCTCTTTCAACTTGTCAGCCAAAATGGCTTGCAATTTTTCCTTCCCAGTCCTACACCTTGAGCACACAAACTTGTCCTCATTTACCACCTTCTTTTCCTTCTCTTGCTTCTCCTTATGGATTCTCTCCAAATCAGACAACAAAATAGTTGGATTTGGTGCCTTCATTTTAATGTTAGCTGTTACCATATGGATTGGTGCCATTTCTGGAAAGGGATTACT